GCTTGCACTTGTTACTAGCATAGTGACAAGGGCATTTAATAATAAAAAAAAAGTGGTGGGAGTAGGCTTTAAGTTGCCAAGAGCGAGGCACAAGACTTCACAGGACACATCTTTAAGCAACATTTCATAAAATGCAGTAAAGGTACCTTTTAATAAGGTCTCTGAGGTGATAAGCTGGAATGGCTGAATTAACCACCCCTTCACTGGCAAAAATGCGATCAATGATGGCAGAACTGTTTGTCTGAAAAGAAGCAGCAGCAGTCATTAGGGATGAAAGCAAATAACTGTGCAAAGCTTGCAATAACCTAGGTTCTGGGAGACCTGGGTTAAGCATCATTTTCTGAACTGGATGCAGAGGGCTCCGACACTCTGGTGTTACACTAGAGATCCCTGATGCTGCAGGCTCACCTCAGATTGAGTCATTTGCCCACGTGAAAGCTGGAAAGCGTCACGTGTGCACAGATTTGTTCTCACTGAGAACCTTATGATGTTGAAAGGATACTGTTACTGGGAAGGGAAGCAGGAAACAAAGTTATTTCACAGAAAGGAGAGGACAGAATCCGGCTCAAGGCTCAGAATACAGAGCCTTCCTCTTGTTTTCTCAGGATAAAGACGTAGGAGAAAAAAATCCCACATTCTACTTCATTCTTCCATCTGTGCAACATTACAGTCAGAAAAATTCACCTCACAGCTTGTGAGGAGAGACAGGCTCTAGAAACAGAGTCCTGGAGCTGTGCAATTTCAGTAGGCTGAACACAGACAGTGTTCAGACAGTCCTACAGAGCCCAGAGGTCTTTAAGGCTTTGAAATCTTAATTCCCAGGTCAATAGGATTACAGAAACATCAAGGAAATACTTTCTAGTTGCCAAGTGCTACCTTACAAATCCAAGGTACAAATAAGCAGGAGGAGAACCCGTTTGGTGTAAGCCAGCAGCAGTTCTTGCTCACCTTCCATTCCTGAGATTGGACTGTATGTTTCAGTTTCATTCCTGAGAACATTTCCAGTAAAACGATTCCCAGACTCCACAGATCCACAGCAGAGGTACACTCCGTCTCACTCTGGAGCCCTGCCTGTGCTAGGCAGTTCTGCAGTTCTGCCTCTGGAGCCCGATACCCGTCTGTTTGAATATATTTCACATCCTACAGAAGACCAAGCAAACACATGAAGTTAATTTCACAGATACAAGAGCTCTACTCTCAAATGAGTTCACAGATGGGTCACCAAAATACTGTTGCTACATTTACTGAAAGCATAGTACAGTCAGTACTGTGTGGTCAGAAGGCAGCTCAACTTGCTGCACTGCTGTGTTGATGATGGGAAAAAGAAAACAAAACAATAAGACTACCTGGAAGAGAAAACACCCCCCAGCAACACAGCAGTCATCCCACTAACACCTGAGCTCTCTGAATTACAGCACTGCTGGGAGAAAGAACCTGGATGTCACACTGCATGTACAGAGGACATTGGAAGTTTCAGAATAAGGGTAGATGGAACATACAAAATGTGCTCCACGTACCAGAGCACAAGCAGCTCAGTCTGAACAGTGAGGATCAGTAACAGCCTTCATTATTTAAGCACCAATGATCTCCAGAACAAAATATTAGAAGAATGAAGCAGGCATTTAACACGCAGATGAGGAATTATCAAAGCTGCTTCCCACGCACCTCTTCCTTCTCTCCCCTTGCAGTCAGAAGTGCTGCAGCAATCAATACTTGCTCAGCTGCTGTGGCTGGCAGAGGAAAATACCCACACACTGCCTAGTTAAAACAAGACAATGACAGAATCACACGAGGGCTGTTGTGAGGGTTGGGGGGCAGCTCTGAAAGTTTCCCATCCAAGCTCCTACCCACAGCCAACACTACATCAGACAGACATAGCTTTGTCTAGTCATCCTCTGTCCAGTATCTGTTCAATAATACACTGATGTAACTCAAGAAACAATAGAAGAATATGAGACTACTTCCTGGACAAGGCACAAGACTGGGAATTCTTACATAGGGGATATATTAAAACCAAAACAACCTGCTTCTCCAATTGAAAATAAAGTCTACGAAGGGCATTTATAAGCAACAGAGCTCAGCAGCATTTCATGAACCAAAAAAGATAAACTGCACAGTAGGGTACCCCTCTCTGATCAACAAAGAACAGAACCTCTAGCAAGGTGAAAGCAGCAGTTCAGCAGCCCCCACTAAAGGACGTTTCAAGATGCAGAGAACACAGTGGTCATTGCCACTGGCAAAAATAGAGAGATGGAATTTCACTCCTACCATGTGAAATATGTTGAGAGATTGACATGGTTGAGACCTTGCTCTGTGTACAGCCATTCCCTGTTAAACAGTAACTGTAGAAAAATTACGTAAGGATAACACTGTCAGAGCTGTCAGAAGTGTGAGGAACATGGTCTTGACTAAGATAAGAAATTCACACATATATTCTGCTGAGCAGGGGCGGAGAATAGAGGCTGACATCCAGTACATATTCAAAGCAGGGTCAGATGGTTCATCCCAACAGCCAGAGTAATTACAAGAATCAGAGAAAGAAATTCAGCCCAAAGAGAGCAAATTGGAAGGAATGGTGGAAGCAAATAAAACACGGTCAACTATTAAGATGCAACTCACTGAGCAAGCAGCAAAACACAGACCTGAAGAAAAAAAATATATCTGCATCAGACACAGGACACCAGAAGAGTGGTTTCTGCTGATAGCGACAGATTACCAGCACGAAATGGTGTTCAGCCAAGAATGTGGGAAAACCAAACACAACAAGGAGAAGCTGCTAAGCACACACATTCAAATCAGCCGTACCAAAGAATTCAGACAGGTCGCCCACGCAGTTCTCAGATATTCACAGATCAGTGAGCCTAACTGTCAATACCGGGTAGACCAGTCAAAGAAATATGTGAATGTATGATCTCTGACATGCTCTGAGGGCGAGGAAAGGGACAAGGCAGGATGTGTGTAAAGAAGAGTCACAGCTCACTCACCACCTACCACCCTGTGACTAAAGACTCATTTGTTAAGAAGCTATCTGATGAGAATTCAGATCAGATCAGATTCCTGATACCCCTCAGAGAAGGTTACCAGGAGAGATGAAAGGCAGTTCCATCGAGCCAACTGCAGAACCTCCTGAGGCTATCTACAGAAAGTCAAGCAGTCCATGCTTTCAACGGAGGCCACAGAAGAGAATAAAAGGGGCAAAAACAAATTTACAAAAACAAATTTACAAAAACAACCTGTCACCAAAACAAACAAGTGACAGCGAGGGAAGGAAAGTAGCACAAAGCAGGCACAGACCTGACCATGTTGGAAAGAACAAACGCCACCTAGCCATGACCAGGGCTTTGGTCAGCACAATGACGTGGGAAAGAAGCATCCAGGATAATAGAAAGGGAAGCTGCTGAAGATAAGATGAAAGTAAAGACAAGAGCAAGGACGCTGTTAGGGATGATGCAACTGGCTGACAGCAAAGCCTGGATTACTACTACATGCGATACGAGATGATAAAAGAAGATCTGACAGAGCTAGCTGCTCCCACCAGTCTGACCACGTAAAAAACAGCAAACTTTCCAGGAAGTTGTATCATTAACTCTGGAATCCACAACTGTGCGTAGACACTGACGCTAACCAGAGACATGCACAGGGAATGGGATCACAGCTTCTGTTTCCTGACCCAGCTAACAGTTCAGCCTTCCAAGAAACCCTCAGCACCAGCCCATTCTGACCATGCTACCTCCCCTCCTACACCCAGCAGCTGAAAGCAGCACAGATCTGCACAGCTCAAGACAGAGCGACTGCTTTTGAGAGCAGAGCATTCCAAACCTGATTCCCCTCTTTGAAGCTAAGTCCAAAGTCGATGAGCTTAAAGCACTCCTCCTCCGCGCTCCACAGGATGTTGCGTGGCTTGAGGTCTGCGTGCACGTAGCCTTTGTGGTGCAAGAAGGCCAGGGCTTCCAGGACATCGCGGGCGCAGTGCTGGATCATCCACATGGAGCAGCCCTGGTTGCTGGAGTGCAGCAGCAGCTCGGACACGCTGATGTCCAGCAGCTCCAGCAGCAGGCAGCGGGACGGGCCGTTGGCCGAGTAGTGGTTGGTGAACACGCCGTACAGAGTCACTGCAGCGAGACAGGTCGTAAACCTCGGTCAGGAGCAACCACACAGCGATGGCGCTCCTCCCTATCGCTGCTCACCGAGCCGCGGCAGGCAGCGCCGTACGACACCTAAAGAACGGAGCCCAGGAGAAACCCACCCACAGCCCCCCCGCGTGTGGCGCAGCCGACAGGGGCAGCCCTGCCAGCGAGGGCGATACCTCCTGCCCCGGCGGCCTAGGGAGCCTCCAGGAAGAAGGCCGCCGTCAGGGGATCCCAGGCCGCTCCCCGTGCCCATCCTGCAGCCACAGCCCCCGTGGGGCCGAGGCCTCGTATCCCCAGAGCGCCCTGGGAGCGGAGGAGGGGGGAGGGAAGGGCGGCTGTTACCGATGTTGCGGTGCCCACGGAGTTGCTCGAGCGCGGCGCGCTCCTTGCGGAAGCCGTACTCGGCGCAGTCGGCGGCGGGCGGGCGGGCGCCGGGGCGGCGCGCGGGGCCGGGCCGGGCCGGGGGCGGCACGAACTCCTTAACGGCGCCGGGAGGGGCCCGCGGGTCCCCGCAGCAGCGCACCCGGTACACGGAGGCCGAGGAGCCGCTGCCCAGCGGCGCCTGCACTTCCCACAGCCGGCCCAGCGCCTCCAGCAGCAGCGGCGCCGCCGCGCCCCACACGCACCCCGACATGGCGCCGCCCGCTCACATCGCCCCGCCGCTACCGCTGTTACCGCCGCCTCGCCGCGCCGACGCCCGCCCCGCGCCCGCACCCCGGCCCGGCCGACGCCGCTCTGCGGCCGCCATGACACCGGAAGTGGGGCGGGGAGAGGCGGGGCACCGCACCCCCAGGCCACGCCCACTCACCCCGCCCCGCTTTCCTGGCCCCGCCCCGCCCCGTTTGCGCGGGCGCTCCGCGTGTCGGTGGGTTACAAAAAAAACCTTTATTGTGCAATTCGCATCTTTTATCCCAAACTACGTACACACCCCAGACAACATAAATAGAGGGTGCCGCCGGCACCGCTGGCCTCAGGGCCGGGGGTGGGACGCAGCTGTGCGGCTGGGGTGGGTGACACAGTGACCGCTTTCCCCCCGGACGCACCCTCCCCATGACCCCCGTCATAACCCCATCACAACCCCCATCGTAACCCCCACCATAATCCCCATCACAATCCCCACCGTAACCTTCACCGTAACCCCCTCGAAGCCACCGCTGTGCTCCGGGTCAGAAGTGCTGCCTACAGCCGCTGGTTTGCCAGTTCCCCTTGTGGATAACCCCTGCTGTGCATACCCGCAGGCCGAGGGGCACCTCCGGGCTATGAGAGCCTGCGGGCACAGGCGGTGGTGGGACAGAGGTGGGGGCAGGGAGCCGGTGCTCCTGCGGCTGCCCGAGTCGGGCTCTGCTCCTCCGGGGCACCTGGGAAGAAGAGACGAGGTGGGGGGTGGAGGATCCCTGCACCGCAGGCCGTTTCAGAGATGCCTCCTGCTGCCCTGGGGCTCTCCTCTCCCCAAAATAACGACCCCAAGAACAGCATGTGGCAGAGAGAGAGGTGTTTGGGAGAGCCAGCCCCCTCAGTGCCCTTTGCCCGCTGCTATTCGAAAGACAGCAGGTCAGGATGGGGACCCTCTGCTTCCCGGCTGGGGGTGCATGGCTCTGCATGCCCTGCACTCCCTGACAACTCCTGCTCCAGGCCCACTTCCCGGAGGGGCTTCTCCGTGCGAGGTGGGGTCTCCAGGCCACCCTTATGGATGAGGTCGGGCACAGGGAGGACAGCGGTGGGCTGGTCCCCACTCGGCCCTGGGATGCCGGTCGTACTGAGCACCCCGGGGTGCTCCGCAGGGGAGATGTCCCTCACTCCTGGCCACTCCTCCGCGAGGTCGGCGTGTGCTGCAGGTGGCTCATGGGGCTCCTCTGTGCTGCTGCCCTCTGGCTGAGGTGCAATGAGCATGTCCTGCGGGGTCTTCAGGGCACGTGGTGTCCGCTTCTTGGTGATGGGAGGTGGGGGGTCCAGCCGGGGAAAAGCATCGAGCCCCATGCTCCTGCAAGCAGAGAGAGGCAGTGATGCTTTCCAACCCAAAGGACTCTACCGTGGGTTGTGCAGGGCAGGGACACTCACCCATCCTCGCTTGCTGACTGCCCCATGCCCAGTGCGGCACCGGCGCTGGTGTTCACCTCCATCACTCCCACGTCAGGGGGTCCAGCCGGCTCCTTGCGGCGCAGGAAGTCGTTCATCTTGGCCCCCACGGCCTTGCCCAGGTTACGAAGGTGCTGGCTGCCAGCGGGGCGGGAAGGCTGTGGCAAGGCACCAGTGGGAACGTGCTGCAGGCGTGGGGTGGGTGCCGTGGCAGCACTGGTGTTCTCAAACATACTATGGTCCACTGGAAAAGAAAGGAAGCAGAGAGTGGCTATGAGGCAGGATGCGGGGACTTGATCATCCCAGGGCTGCCTCCCAACAGCATGGGGAGGACACCATATGGGGACAGAAAGACCGTTTCTGTAGCCCCACAGCTGTGTTGTGCATGCCGTGAGGACATAGTGGGGGAGCAACAATCTCAGGGCACCACATTGCTGCCACCAGCACACTGACGACATCTCTTACCTGACACCAAGCAGCTTGGGAAGCAGATTGTGGAAAGAAAGAGAGAGAAGGTTTGTCAAGGGATATAGCAAGGGGACGCCCCCAGGATCCCTCATTTGCTGGGGTACCCACCGCCTGGGCTCTGAACTGTGCATCCTCAAGTGGCACTTTCTACTGCTCACTCACCTTGCTATGGCCAAGTCGCTGGAGCCATGTGTGTGCAAAATCTCACATTACCACACCACCCCATGCTCAACTGGCCTCAGCTTGAATAGACTGAGTCCCTACACCTTGCCCCTTGCTCCCCACCAGCCCTGAGGATGGAGCCAGCAAGCATCACCTCAGTCATCAGGTTCCCAGAACCCTGAGGTGGGCAGACCTTGCGTTCCAAAAATATTCTGCTGTGTGACATCAGCCATTAGCAATGCCAGCTAGTGGATTCTGGGGCCTCAACAAAGAACATCACAGGGGTAATGGATGGATTTTTCATGCCAGCTATTTTGATTGAGGCCATGCCCCATGCTTCCAGAAGAGGCAACCTGGAGGCAACTCTCTCCTGGGATCAGTGCAGCCTGCCTGGTGAGCACCGAGGATGCATCCAGGCAGGGGAGCAAGGAGGGGTCTGGCTGGATGTACCTGCCTGCGTGGGCAGGAGAGGGGTAATAGGGGCCCTTATGGCAGAAGGTGCATTCTAGGAATGAGGAGGGGAATCCTGCTGTTGCAGTCCACCTCTGCACGATGGTGCTTTTCACCCTTATGTCTTCCCAGCAGGAACCTTGAAAGCTGGGGATGCTGCCTCCAAATGCTTCAGCTCACAGCCCCCAGCTCTGCCCCTATGTCAGGACAGCACTTCATGGGACAGTTCCAGCTGGCTGCTGGGTGAGCTCTCAGTGCTGGGGGGATGTCTGGTGACAGAGGCAGTCACCTCCACAATGCACAGAGTGAGACAGACCAACCCATCAGCCAGAGCCCTGGGCAGAGAAGGGCTCTGCTGAACACTATGCTGAGGGTGGGACTCCTTGTGGGTCTCCAGCACCACTCCCATCCCCATGGGTGCCCATGCTCACGCAGTGACCCTGACGCATTCTTGCCCCTTCCCTCTGCAGACCGCAGCTCCACAGCCTCAGCGGGCAGCGAGCTCCCTGCCCGCACCATCTACAGACCTTGGTGCTCACCGTACAGCTACCTCATCTGCACCAAAGCAGCCTCTCAGCAGCACCTCTCCTCCAGTCCACTCAGTAGCACCTGGGAGTCTGAAGATCCCAAAAACCTCTTGGAGGCCCTCGCCTCTTTGTCCTGCTCTTCAGAGGAGCTCCAGACCCCGGAGAGTGCCAGCAACAGGGTCAGTATCACCACCGGAGACATCCTTGCAGCTTCCTTGGAGCAGCATGCGCCAAAGCACGGCTACAAGTGCATGTCATGCTGCCGCATCTTCCCCACGCTGTGCTCAGTCAAGAACCATGTCCAGCGCAGCTCCCAGGAGGGCTACAGCTGCAAGGTGTATTACTACAAGCTCAAGGCCCTGTTGGAGAAGGAGCACAATGTACAGGAGACCAAAACCCCTTTGGTGCCCGAGTAGCTCCAGCAGCTGGGCCACTGCCGCAGGAGGGCACTGCTCCATTGCTCCACTGCTACACAATAAACACCATGCAGATCACAGCCTGCCTGCTGCTCTCTTCGGAGGCACAGCTCTGCTGCAGCCCCTCGTTGAAAAAATGCTTCTCACATCCTTTCAGAAGCTGTTTTCCTCCCCCAGTGGCCAAAAATTCCCAATGCCTGGAAAGCTCTGTGTAGCATCTCTGAGGAGAGGTGTGAAAGCCCCAGCAGCCCACAAGCACCCTCGAGCTGTCAAACAGCCCTGAGATGACCCCAACACCATTTGGGGCACCCCTCTCTCACAGTCAGCTGGCAGTCAGCACAGCTCAGAGCTGCGGGGTCCCGCAGGGGAGGATGCTCAGTTCCAAGAGAATCTGTGCAATGCTGGGGGTGCCACCCCTGGTGCTGGCTGCCAGCCCAGGCTGGCAGAGTGTGGAGGGCAGGAGGAGTATGGAAAGAGAGAGAGTCAGCAAGAAGGAAAAGACAACAGAAAGCCTTGAGAAATAGAAAGATTTATTTAGCAAAAGCCAATCAACTAATGACAACACCCAAGGGTTAAGTGCACTTACATTGACAGATTGGTTTCTCAGATAGACCGAGTCAACAGTTAGTAACACGACAGTTGTAGGAAAAGAAAGGACAAAAAAATATAGCTATAAAACCCCAGTCAAGGTCCATAACAAAAGTGAGAAGCTAGAGAGGCATTTTGTAGGCAGTGCTGGGCTAGGAGGACCACTCACACATACACATGGTGCTGCAGTGCAGCATGGCACTGGGTGGCTCCCAGCTGGCCCTGGCAAGGCACAGGGGGCTGCAGCACTCCCTGTCAGCCCTGGGACACAGCTCACCATTCCCTGTGGTTGTGCTGACCGTGAACCTAAGGCTCAGCCCTGCCTGCAGGAAATACCCAGGACGTGCACTCCTGCTCTATCCCCTCTGGAGCTGGTGTGGGGGCTTCCCTGGGCACCAGGCCACTGGTGAGCACATTGAAACAATCACAAAATGATTAGAAGGTCCACCTGGACCAACTCCTGTTCCAGCAAAGCCACTCAGCACAGGGTGTCCAGGCCTACATCCAGACAGCTTTTGAAACTTCCCAAAAAAGAGAACCCACAGTCTCTCTGGGCACCCCGTGCCAGAGCTCAGCCACCCTCGCAGCACAGAAGTGCTTCCCAGTGTTCACACTGCACTTCGTGTTCCAGTTGTCTCCATTGCCTCTTGGGCAGCCCTGAAAAATACCTGGCTCCATCCTCTTTGCACCTCTCTCTTCAGGTATCTAAACACATCAACAAATTCCCCTGATCCTTCTTCAGGAGGAACAGTCCCAGCTCCCTCAGCCTCTCAGCAGAGGTGCTCCAGCCCCTTCTCCACTTCCACAACCTCTCACTGGTCTCTCCTCCAGGAGCTCCGTGTACCTCTTGCACTGCACCAGTGCCGAGCAGAAGGGCAGGATCACTGCCTCGACCTGCTGCCTCAGCTCAGCTTGGTGTCCTCCAGGACCATCAGCTCCACCTCTGTCAAGCTGCTTTTGGAATATCCCAGTGCCTGGGCTTGTTCCTACGAGAGCCAAACTGCACTTCTCCTCGCTCAGCCCCAGGAGGCTCCCACCAGCCCACCTCTCCAGTCCCTCTGGATGGCAGCACCGCCCTTTGGTGGATCAGCAGCCGCTGCTCCCAGGTTTGCTGTCTGCAGTCGTGCTGAGAGTGCCGCGTCACCCAGATCGTCCATGCGGAGGTTCAACAGCGCTGTACCACCCCTGACCTCCAGGGTACACTGCAAGCTGCTGGCCTCCAATTAGTCTGCACAGATGATTACCATCTGGGCCTGGCTGTTCAGCCAGTTTCTAACCCATCCCACTGTCTGCCCATCCGTCCCGTACATCAAGAACTTGTCTATGAGGATCTTTTGGAGACAGCATCAAAGGCTGGAACTAGCTCAGAGATAACCTGCACTCTTCCTTCTGTCACCAACATACTTTCAGAAGCCTTTCTTGTCTTTGACATTTCTGGCCATATCTAATTCCATCTGGTCTTTAGCTTTCCTAACTTCATCCTGAGATGCTCAGACAATGTTTCTATTCTTTCCAGGTTGTCTGTACTTGCTTCCACCCTCTGTATGCCTCTTTTTTGGGGTCTGAATTTGACCAGCAGCTCCTTGCTCATCCATTTTTTGCCTGACTTTCTCTTTGATGGGATGGATCACTCGAGCTTAGAGGAGGTGATCTTTGAGTATTGGTCAGCTTTATTGGCCGCTCTTCTCTCAAAGGCCACAATCCAGAGTTCTTCCAGCAGATCCACAAAGAATGCTTTTCACTCCCCTCCCTGACCTAAGAATCTTAAGAATTCCTCAGGGTCACGGCAGCCAAGGCTGCCTTTGACCTCCACATTCCCCACATGCCCCTTGGTTCTGACAAGAGATCCATCAGAGGACATATCCTTCCTTCCCACTAGGACTCTCTAGCTCCTGACAGCTCTGCTACCTGCAGTGCCCACCTCCTCATGGGGTGGACAGTGCACAGCACAGCCCTTGCTCCCCCTGGGGTCTCACCTGCACCCTGCTCCTCCGCCCCGAGGGGACTGGAGCAGGAGAAAACCATGGACCTTCCTCTCAGCAGGGTCAAACACTGGAGTAGAGCAAGAGCTTGAGTCTGGGAGATAGGCAGCCAGGGGTTAGATGCAGGCAGATCAAGCAGAGACAGCTGGCAAAAGGAAAAGCAGCAGGCAAGCAGCAAAGCAAAGCAGAAGCAGGACAGGAGGGTGGAAGATGTGGAAGACAATCTTGTCAATCCTGTCTCCCCATGTTTCTGTAAGGAGCAGAGGGGTCATCTGGTTTGCATCCCATCAGCTGCGTTCTCAGAGGCTGCAACAGTGGGCAACTAGTAAGTGTGCTGCAGAGCAGGGAGAAGCTCTGGCTCCTTTGGAGGCCCCCAAGAACATCTATCAGCCTCTTAGGGGCTGGTGAAGGCCCTGAAATTCTGGATTAACTCTTCTGAAGATGAAAACCAGACACATGAAGGTGCCCACGTGCACAGTTATTTGTCACTGTGCCACCCATGAGCTCCCCGCGTAGGGTGCCCACCTCTCCCATTCCAGCTCAGTACAGGCACTGAGCCCTGCACCAGGCAATTCCCAGCAGTTCCTCATGACTGGTGTCGCCTTCCAGAGGGGTCCAGAGCCCCCCTTCTCCATCCTGGGGTCAGCATGCACCCTGAAGCAACCACCATGAATCCAGACCCTGCCTGGGAGCAGGGTTACCCCAGCCACGTGATGGGCTACACAGCCACCAAGTCACCCTGCAGAATAACCCCTTCTGGGGAATGTAAGCGTACACTGTGCCCACAGCAGCTAGGGAAGGAGGAGATCTTGCTTCCCATGGAGAGGCTGTGCATGTCTGTCTGCATGCACACACAGCCATTGCCAGCAGTGTTCTGGTGGCAAGCAACCGCATAGAAATGGAATGGTTTGTCTGTAAAGCCAAGCAGTGAACTGGCAGTAGCAGTGGTGCAGGGAATTGCTTGAAAATACAACTTGAGAGCACCAGAAAGGCTTTGATACCTGGTAGCAGTACCAAAGAGCTCCGGAACTAGGCAATGAGGTAAGGAGAATTCATCCTCCCTGTGCTGCGCTCCCCAGCTCTCACTGCATGCACATTTGTGCCTCCCTATACACTTCACAGCCCAGGAGAGGAGCAGGCAATGCCCAGCACCCTCTGTCTGCCCAGGCAAGGACAAACTCTGCCCCACAGTGCCACAAACCACAGTGCCTGCAAGGAGCTGCCTGTGCCTGGCTGTACTGTGCAACTTCCTCTTATCCCTCACTTTTCCAATCTCCTTCCCAGCATTCCTCCCCTCTCACACAGCCACATCGATGGGGCACCATCTCTCATCCCAGTAGCATAGCTCCAGCCTCATCTCTCACCATCTCTATCATGCAGGAAACCAATTCGTGCTGGCTCTTTTGTCCCTCCATACCTGCTTTCTCATTCCTCCAGCAAAAACATTCCCCAGTTTCATTGCTCCACCCAATAGTAACACTGCTAGCAGTGACTCCTAACCCATCACGGTTGCTGAGCAGCAATGCCAGCAGCACAAGGAGCCCTGCAGGGACTGCTGCTGAGAGCACTTTGCTTCCCTTGCCTCTGATCTCAAGATGCAGCTTGGGAGGACATGGGGACCAGGGAGCAACACAAGCCTGGCATGAAGCTGAGGGTGCTGAGGGCCAGCTGAGCTCAGGACAAGATGACTGGCAGCAGGGAAGGAAGATCTGCCCCCTGCTCCAACAGAGATACTGCAGTACCACCACGTCTACCTCCCTAAAGCTGCTGTGGACTGCACACACCAGGGTCCTGGGCACAGCACAAGCCAGGGAGGGAGCTGCCAGCACGGCAGCATCACGCACCATGCCCAGCTCTGGCCCCTGCTGCCAACCAGCGCCACGCTCCCTCCACCATCCCTGGGGGTCCCGGCTGCTCTGTGCCACCTCTTGACATCCCCTACACCGCAATCTCATCCTCCAGACTGTCACCCAGGTCCTGCCGGGGCTGGACGTTGAGCAGGCGTGGCGGTTCCTCCTGGGACCAGGAGTCGCGCTCCTCGCTCTCGTCCGTGTTGGACTCATACTCAGAGGCGATGCCCGACTCACGAAACTTGAGGAGCTCCAGGCTGCCCAGAGCCGGCTCTGGGGCGTGTGACCCCGAGCTCGGCAGGAAGTGGTAGCACTCCAGCTTCACCAGACAGTCGTTCCTACCTATGGGGCTGCCCAGGGCGCTGGGGAAGCCCGAGCCAGGGCCCAGCTGCGGCAGGTGGGTGTCCTCGGGCTGCGGGGTGGTCGGGTCGCAGAGCACGGGGAGGACGCTGGAGCGGAAGGTGATCTCCAGCAGGCTGTCCTGGGAGCCTGCTGCAAGAGAAGGGCATGGCTGAGAGGCAGACAGTGCCACCCTGTCCCTCCCGGGCATCCCAAGGCCACCATGGCTGGCTGTGGATCCACAGCCTCAAATGTGTGGATGACAGTGGCACGTGTGCCAGGAGCTGCTGGCCTGCAGAGAGCCAGGATGGAAAGCTAGCTGCCTTTCCCTGGCTCCTGCAAGCAACTGATGGCCACATCTACTGGAAAAGAAGGTCAAGGAGGGTCTCTGTGGCAAGGAGGGAGCTGGCATAGACGTGCAGCTGCTGGGGAGAGCAGACATACAGCTAATGGACATGTGTGATGGCCACCCCACACCTCCCTCCATCCTGCATGCAGGTGTCCTACTGCACATGCACAAGCCAGGCCAGAATGGCACTAATATTGCGCCTCCCCAGAAAACATCAGAAATGCACCAAAAAGTGGGGTATAACACCCACGTGTTCCCCACAGACCCTACCCCTAGCCCCTCTCACACAGGGGCACTGGTGCTGTGCTGTGCCATGTCTCCAAATCCAATGCCTCTCCGGAGCCAGGGTGTACAGCAAGGTCCCCTGCCACACACTCCCTTGTGCTGTGGGTTCCCAGCTAGCTGTGAGGTGAGAGGATGGGGCAGGAGTGCTTACTGGTGTTGTTCCCCGCCAGCTTCAATTCCAGCTCCTGCACCTGTTTGACCAGGAGCGAGATGTGCTGCAGCAAGTCCTTGTTCTGGAGCAGGAGCTGGTGCACACGTGCCTGCGCCTCCAGGCGTGCCGCTGCCTCCGCAGCCAGCTGGTCCTTCAGCAGGTGGACCTGAGGGGCAGAAGGCACACCGTCACATCGGAATACACTCAATGACCGTGGGGAATGCAAGGGAGCCCTTTGCACAGCTCTGCTGGGTGAGGCAGCAGCTGGCGGTGGTGGAATTGCAATTAAATGCTAAGCAGGTGCGCAGTCTCTGTGCTGACAGCATCAGCCTGGAAAAAATCTTTCCCCTCTGCATCGCAGAAGCCTGCAGCAGGGCTTGGGGTGGTGCTCAGGTGCTGCAGAGAAGCAGCCAGCAGAGCCCACGTGTTGCAGCTGGCAGAGGGGCAGTGCCTTGTGCCACCAGTCCCAAGGGACAGCGCTCAGATGGACAGGTATCTGGAAACACCTTAAAAAGAAGTCTCTCTGGTCAGCGAGGGAGCTAAATGATATTTCATCTCCAGCTAATTACAGGCAACGATAATTACAGAATGGTCCCTGCAGCTACAGACCCATCAGTTTGACACAGATCCTGGTTGACACAGCACAGCTACTGGTTTGTTTGTAAAGAATTAAGCCTGTGCCAGTCACCATGTTCAGAGACAAACTGGCTTGGTATTTCTTGAGAGAAGATAACAAGTACCATCAACAGAGATGTTGATGTAATGTGCTCAGTCATCTAACAGGCATTTGACACAGCAGAACATAACTTTTTCATTAATAAATTAGTGTGACACTGAATCACCACGGCTCACACTGAATGGATTGGAGAGGAGCTAAGTGACAGCTCTGGGATGAGAACCACGCCGAGGTGGGCAGAGCTCCAGTGCAGGGTGTCAGCCCCTGGAGAAAGCAGGATGAGCCACTGGCTGCCATCCCACAAGCCAGCCAAGAGATAGCTACACACTACTTCAGATTTTTTTAAATCTGGAAGTAGGAAGAAAAAGAAATCAGCAGTGTAAAGGTCTGCAGATCCACAAAGATTGGGAACTACCAAAGGTGACGAGTCTCTGTCCCACAGGGATATGGTTTTTCCTGTATGAACAACATCCTGCTGCTTGGGCAGGAATGGAGGACCCCCAGAAATGCAGGTTCCTCTTTTAAAGGGTGAGCCGTTTCCCAAGGCCATGACCCTTGTAGAAGGATCAGTGCTGATTTTTGATGCCTGGGGAGAAAAGCCAAAGCAAAGCAGAAAAAGTCTTTTGGAGCTGCTTGCTCAGGCCAGTTGAATGGCCTTCAGCTGCACCAGGGGAGGCTCAGGTTGGATATTAGGAAAAATTCTTCTCTGAAATAGTGGTGATGCATTGGCACAGGCTGCCCAGGGTGGTGGTGGGGTCACTGTCCCTGGAGGTGCTCAAGAGTTGAGGAGATGTGGCAGTGGAGGACGTGGTCAGTGAGCATGGTGCGTATGGGCAGATGGTTGCTATTGATTCTGTGAAAGATAAACAGTTGGAGAGAGCTCTGGAAGTGTCAGGGGACAAGCAAAGCTATGGTCATTGGTCAAATGGAAGAGCCAGAGCTGCTGAAATGAGGAAAACTCAGGCAGAGTGAGCTGCTGGCTGTGGTTGGCCAGGATTAGTGGCACGGTTTGGCATTTTGCCACATGCCTCATGATGGGTCTCCCCAGGCTTCAATGTTGTGCCCCCAGAAAACAGTGCTGGGACAAACCTGTGCCACAGCCACTTGTGTCTGCTGCTGCTGCTGCTGCAGGAGCTGCTGTAGGAGCTGCATTTGGTGGTGTGCAGACAGAGGAGTGCCCAGGTCAGGCAGCGGGGTGGACGATGGCAGCAGCATCTTGGGCGAAGCGGTCAGGATGTCCTCAGGGTGGAGGCAGCCCTGCAACACACCAACGTCAGTACGGGCAACCCTGTGCCTCCACAGCCATGAGAGCTGCCAGGCACAGAGCAGTCTCCAAAATTTCCAGGAATAAGGCTGCTGCATTCCAAGCAAATCACGCTTTGCTGAGGCAGGAGAGGCCTGCTGAAAAGCTCTGAGAACAATTTTTGCCTGAGGCCGGCTGACGGGCTCGCTGACCTCCCCATGTTCCCCCAGGCTCGTGACAAAAGCACAAATATTATTGCAGTAAGTTTTGGAAAAGGCTGCCGTTTCCCATGGAAATTTCCACTGTCTCAAAAATAACCCTTTTTTGAGGTGTGCAAGAAAAACAATTATCCCTATCAGCTCTGCCCCAACTCTTTCCATGTGGCTGAGCTTTGGTACGGTGCTCTGCAGACGCAGCTCAGCCCCGAGCCAAAGGGCAGCGGCAGACAGCTTTGATCTGGGAATGCTGCAAAATCCCTCCTGACCCCGGGGCTCTCAGAGGGACCCACACACCTTGGTGTCACTGCTTGCCTCCTTGCCCACAGCATCCAGGTCCGTGACGCCGCGGCTGAAGTCGAGGATGTCAGCCCCGGGCAGCGGCAGCTCCACAGCATCGATGTCGGTCTCCTCAGCTGAGGTGGCTGCCCGCTCTGCAGCAGTGAGGCGGCAGGCTGTGGGACAGCAGGGCACGGCTGGGGGTGAGCACTGGGACCCTGCATTCCTCCCT